AACTTCATATAACAATTTTGATTGTTTATATATTTAGGATATTTATTATCTTTCTATTAATAGTTAGGAAACATGGCATTTCTTCTCTTTTCCTCTCATGCTTTACCAGCTAATGTTAGATAATGCTGGTGCTTTTCTAAATATCTTTATTTGTACTTTTAAACATGTGCACATCCATAATTTGATTGTCAGATTAAACCTTAGTATATTGAGAAGAGAGCAATCAGCTCACCTCCTTTGAGCACGTACTTCTTTCTGCTGCGCCCTCCTAATCCGTGTTAGTTGTTTTAGCTCCACTGTCAGGACGTTACACTTTTGTCTACAGCCCACTGCACTCATTTATATATTTACTTTAGATTTAGCTCTAGAGGTGCATACACAGAGTGCTCAGTCAGTTCTTTGGAAGATGCTTTTGCATCTTTTCCTTCACTGGGTGCAGTTTTTCCTCTCGGTGTTGTTTCACAAAAGGGTTCAGGACAGCATTTCCGAGCTCCTCTATGCACAGAGTGCTTGCCTCTGCCCTTTGTACCTTGACGGGAGTTAGGCTGGCCATAAAACCACTGATGCACAGTTTCTTCCCATAAACAATGGACAATTCATTATCTTCCCGAGCATTCTGTTCACTGTTTTAAATGTCTCAACTGTTACAATTTTTTGGAAGCTTTAAAAAAATTCATCTTCTTGTAAACTTCTAATAGAGTAGCCTTTGGTCTCTTCTATATAAAAACTTTTAAATAATTCTCTTTTCCAGAACAAGAACAAGGGATTGAAGAAAAGTGCCAAGGCCACCGTAGCTCCACAGCACCTTCTTAGACTGAAAGTTGGTTGGTGCGATTGGTGCCAATCAGTTCACTCTCCTTAGCATCCTGGGCATTCCTCACAGAGCCCCTACAAGTAAGTTAGTTACCACTTCAGAGCCGCTGGGACCACTGGAATCCTCTGACACAATAACAATATGTAATGTAACAGCCACTGTTAATTCCTACCATTTTGTTTTGAAACCCTGTATTATTTGTATTGTTTTTGTGGGGTTTTGCCTATGTTGTTGATGTTGCTGTTATTTTGATATTGTTTTTCATTCTCTTTAAAATTAAAACAAGGCATTATTTTAGGATAAAAAAACTGAGGTGCAGGGAGAGGAGCAGAGATTTCCCCAAGGTCAGGTCACTACTGGGAGGCTGAGTCAGACCGGGAACTCCAGTGACTTCCAGGCTAGCGCTCTTCCCATTCACCGTCCTCAACACTATGAGAATGAGAGATGCGCCACTGCACTAACGTGACTCATAAAAATTCACCTCATGTCCAGTAATTGTTCCTTCCTTCCAGAGGAGTATTTGGAATAAGAAATGACACACCCAGGGTAGCTGTATCACAGAACTTTAATGGGTTTGCTGTTAAGTATGTAACTTGTCACTTTTATGTGTTTCTTAAGACTGAGAAACTTTAGATAAACGCAGATTTAGTTTTCTTACCTCCAGCTCTCTACACCATTATTCTGAGCTGAAATTACACAGTTTATGCTTAAGACATAAGGGCCAGGCTCTAGCTCCAAACATACCACCCACTCTAACAGCAGAATCTGGACCTGAAAACCCATTAACCAATATTATCATTAAACTAAAGAGCTAATTACTTTGGATTTGTGCAGAATGAACAAAATGATAGGCCAACCACAGCTGGTTGTAATAATGGTGAGACCAACCATATGTTACACTAGAGATTTAAGAATGAAGACATATCAGCACTACTAGAACCAAATGCCAAACTAGTATAATCAGAAATATTGTGGAAGCACGTTGGAATTATCAGATCCATGAAATGAGTGTTTTCAAGGAATTAACTGTTATAATTTGAAATTAGTGTTTAATCAAAGTGGAAATGGAGAACTTTGTTCTACTGTAATGTTCTACAAGTGAAGAACTTTATCTAAAAATTGTTTTGATTTGATTTGAAATAGCATTCTCATAGTCACATAAGTCTAACCAGACACAAGAGGCTTGTTTTAGGCTATTTTAAATGACCATTAGAAGGACTCCTCCTTATAGCTTTAAAAAGCTAATTTTCCAGGGGCTGGGGATTTAGCTCAGCGGCAAAAGTGCCTGCCTGGCAAGCGCAAGGTCGTGAGTTCGGTTCCCGGTACCGGAGAAAACCCAAAAAAAAAAAAAGCTAATTTTCCAGATAACTGAATATTTTCCCAATTCTATAGAAGTATTTTAAATTTACATTAAAATACATCTTTTAGAAAAACATTAATAAACCTGAGAGGCAGTAAGAATTCAGTCATGGTTTTATTAATTGAAGCTAAATAATATTTTGATTCCATAATATTAAATATTTGATGAAATGATCTTTTGATTCCTTTAAATTTTCTACCTACGATTTTCTAATTGTTTTTAAGTAAAAACAGGACACATCATAAGGTGGTTTTGTAACTTCTTGTATTCATGATTATATATTATGAACATTTTCCAACATTATCACACTTTTATTATATAAATTTACTAGATTCCTAACTTGTTGAGAAAAAATGATTTTTATCTTTTTGTATCTCACAGATTTCATTATCGTACCATTCCATGATAACACTAATACTTTCAAGACCTTTTGGCATACCTAAGTCCATTCTCTTCAAACTGATGGCCTCAGTTGGCTCTACTATTCTAAAGCTGCCTTACTGTTAGCTCTTTTTCTCTCTCAATATTAGATTTCCAAATAAAGCTGACCAAACCTGAATTAAAACCAAGTTTGTTGGATCAATGACATGAAAGATTAACAAATGACAACTATTAATTAATAGCTTTAAATTCATTTACACTTATAAGTACTTAGACAATCCTTTTCTTCATTTCTTCAACCTTCTTAGAGAAAAATTTTCTCCTACCTTCCTTACCCAAGAAATCAGTATTAAAAACACTTGCTTAGCTTCTTCTTGTTGAATCATACCTGATGAAATTACTGTTTCTTGTTCTTTGTCTTAGGACTTCTGTATGAAAAACTTGGGAGAAAGAAGAGCTATTACACATGATGGGAACAGACTGCAGGATCTCAGTGGCCCATTTCTGCTCTACAATGCTGTACTTCTATCGTTCTATAAAGGTTCTCCAATTTGTTCTTTTGTTGTATATTTTACTTGCTGAGAACTGAAAGCTGCTCCCTCAGGCTCCTTGACACAGGGCTGTAACTTTTCTTTAGGGAACCACAATTTAAGAACAGGGTCTGAAAAACATGCCTGGGGCAATAACAGGAACTCATTGGAAGGCTCAATTCCATTCTCTCCCCACCTGCTCCTCCGCAAGGCCAGGGAAAAAGAAGGCAAAGAAGAAAGAAAGAGGTGAGGAAGGAGAGAGACAAAATAAAAAAAGTAATTTCTATGCTTCTCTGAAACTGAAGTTACATTAGAGCTTTCTTAAGTCTTATTTAGAGAACTTATTCAACCATAAACTTATGTTCTATAAATTCTAGGACTTTATGATGTGTATCACAAAGTTTAGAATTTTATGTTCGGATATGGCAATTCTGAGAACAACTGTGAAAATAAATCCATGTGAGACTCTTACTACTATTAATCCAGTTCTGTGAATCTTTAAATTCTATTACATGAAATACACTCCATCTTATTTCATGCCTATCACTATATTCCATTTTCTACTTATAATACTAATAGCTACTATGTGTACCTAACTGACACTACAGGGATATAGTTTTTGATGAAGGTCTAATTTTTGTCTTTCATATTTTATGGACATGAAATATGACATATTCTGAAGTAGTGCATACAAAGACTGACAGAGACACACAGAGAGAAAAATGTCTGTAAGCCTGATATTCAACCAAAAGATTTTAACTAAAAACTTTATTCTTCATTATAAAAATAAAAGCACATTGAATCTTTAAGGAATCATCACAATTAAAAATCTAAATTTGTTTCTACTAATCACTTCCTTTGTTGGGATAAAAAAGTTACCTCTTATAAAGTTGAAAATTGAAATACGAAAAATAAAGTTGTTAAATGAGATATAGGCTGCAGAAATACAATAAAGCCACATTCACTAAGTGTACGTTTAACTTCTTATAAATATATCACAATTTATAACCTCTTACTTGCAAAGAAATAATTGTAATGAGAGATTATTAAAAAGATATGTTAATTTTTAGTCTAAACCTGAATGTTCAAAAGAAGAGAAAAAGATACAACCTTCAAAATGTAAAAATGCTTAGCCAACTTTGGTAATAGCTCATGATTTTATCTTCTAGATATTTCTCATAATTGTACCTAATAACTTTAAACATCTGAATAAAATAAAATATTATACAGGACAAAGTAATGACTAAAGAGAGCAATAACAAGGTTGCCACTCTGAAAGTGGGGGACACCTGGGAATTAGCCATTCTATTAAACTTTAAAGGAATATTACTGAGAATTAATCATTCAAATTGGGTTGTTAAACAGGAAAGACTAATTTAGCACTTTTGTGCTACAATAACTTCTTATTCTTGTAACCAAAGGAAACAGTGTAAAAGTTCAAACTCCATCCAAAGTGTAAAAAGAAAAGGTGTACTACTTCTGATTCCACTCAGTGTTTCTCAAAGGCTCCAGACTGAGTAACCATAAAAACACAGGTTCCTGGGTCATGTCCCAGCCCTACTGAATCTACAGCTCTGCGAAATATGCCCAGGAGTCTGTATTTTAAAGACCCCTCTCTCACCTCCACACGTCACTTATGCACATGACAGTCTGAGAACCACTGTGGCTGTGACTTTTCATGCAAAGCAGATTATCAAAGAGCAAGATTTCCACTGTGCCTGTTATTGACATGACTTACGCCACTTTTAAACACTGTATTTCATCTATTTTTGCTTTGTGCAGTGAAGCTGCACGTTGGTAGCTATTTTTCTTATATTTACTATGTGATTTTACTTTACATCTATATTTTTAAAAATTACTTTTGATATAATTAAGAGTTACACAAGAATGTCAGTTACTTCTAAAATTCACTTACCTTCAGATCTTTATGCACACTCAGAAAGTTTTGAACATATACAATGGATGTTTTCAAGAAGAATAGATGTGGTGGAGCTCTGATTTCCAATGCTGGTGGGACTGGTCAAAGAGGCCCCTGCAGTGGACACCAGAAATGCCGCTGAGAGGAGAAGCCACCAGTGTGTCAGCCAGTGGGTTCCTGATTATCTCTAAACAGAACAGAAAAACCAATAGTCAGTCACCTGTAATTCAGAGCATGTGCAGTCTAGGAGGTTATTTTCAGTAAACTAGCAGTGTTACTAAATTTAAACTTGGCTTGGGTTTGCTGCTCCCAGATTTAGCACAGTTGTTATTTAAAATATCATATCGTTGTAAAGTCAAGTGCATGATGACACTCCCTGCAGAAAATTCTGGTAGAATTCCTGTTGCTTTCATTGACTATTTCTTTTAAACACTGCATCAAGTGGTATAATTACTAATTTTAGGTTCGATATGCATTCTGGCACTGAGTTTCTTTCACAGCTAGGTGACAAGGTCTCTTGCTAATATATCTTTATATGAAATTCTACCAGAACCCTGTAGGAGATGGAAGACCTTCACTAACTCCCCCTGGAATCATCTGACAGTTTTGTTCTACTTCCTTTCACATGGGTAATTCCTGCCATGATAATTAGGCATAAACAAGATAATATCCTTTCTGCTCCATATGTATTGCCTACTCATGGAAACTGAAATTCTAGGATCTTTGTTGATGAGGTAAGCTGAATTTGGTAGTTGAAAAAGACAGTAAAACACGTTTTAAAATTGGTGATCAATCATGCAAGTGTTCTCCTAAGGGGTAGATGAAGCAAAATGTATAGATAAACACAAGGTCAGGTATGAAATGTGCAGTCTGCCTTCCAAGTGCGAGCACAGAATAAATACAATGTGTAACTATAGTTGTCATGGGAGACTCATGGCCTGGCTACTGAAAAACCATTCCCAACTACCTTCTTCTTGCTATGTCTCACAAATAGAAATAAGAGCAGTAACAGGACCATATTCTGACACATAAGCTACTGCAGGTGAAATGTGCTGGGTAAAAATCCTGGCAGAATTTTGCTTTACCGATAAGTAGAAAAACTCCTACTCCTCTTTCTCTTCTACACGTTTACTTTCCTTGAATAAGAATGTGGTACTTGGGAGGCAGAGCAGCAATTTTGTCATCATGGTGTGAAATGCAATAAAGACTCAGAAACGGAAATGTACTTGTTTAAACCACTGTGTTTTCTACTCCTTGTTAAGGGAAGCTTTGTTGGTTGACAAAACACTCAAAATTATTGCTGAAAGGTAAGTTCTACTGCTATGAGTGTAGTAATATCTATTTTTAAATTCCTTAGTATGTAAGCTGCAACAAAAGGAAGCTCACATTCTGTGGAGTCAAGGACAGCCTTTCCCTGACGTAGGTAGAACTCACCTTCTTTCTGATTTCTAGAAAAGTTGTAATGTGGGAATGAGACGCAAAGTGATAGCAACGAACTAGCATAAAGTGGAGAGAAAAGCCACTTAGAGCTTGGTTTGGAGGAAGAAGGTCCAGTAATAAGCCGTGGGAAATGGCAGAACCCTATCTTTGCCTTGGTGCCCCAAACTACCACATTATTTGTAATCTTAGTGGAAGACTGACTTTCACCTTCTAAGAAGAACTCTGACTCCTGTGGATTCTTTCTTTGAAATACTTTTCACATCTGCCAAGTTCATGGCTATGATCCTCCTCCTTGGTCACAGGGCAAGCTCTCACTTCCTCTTCCCCAGTGTTGTCATAGATGAATAGATTTCTCTGTCTTGAACACAATGGCACTGTGTCCTATAATTGCCTGTAGGCCTCACTTTTTTTTTCCAGACTTCTTTTTTCTTTTTTTTTTTTTATTGCTGCAGAAGGCTTTATTTTCTTCTGGTCCAAGATTTGGGAGGGGGCTCCAGAGAGGCAAAAAAGCTGCCTAGTGGCTGAAGGAAGAGGGTTAAGCCGAAGCCTTAATGCCAGGTGATGCAGTAGCCCCTCAGAGACTGCCAGGCTTCATAGCCTCCTAGTTGTGCTTAAGGGTGAGCCTTTCAAAGAAGTACTCTCCCAGCCAAGCCTGGGGCCCGCCAGCCTGTGGAGGTTGGTGAGGTGGTCAGCTATCTTCTTGATGAGCTTTACCTTGTCATCTAGGAAGTGGTTCTCCAGGAAATCACAGATATGGGGGTCTGTCTTGGCAGAGCAGACTTAACTTCTTAACACACTGACTTCACTGAATTCCTCTTTTGTTCAAAGTATAAGAGCTTCCATTAGTCTACAGGATTAAGTTCAAGGTTCTTAAACTGGCATTCAAATCTCCCAATAATGTGGACTCTTCTACATTTTCTAACCCCTCACTAACACTTTAGGTGGGTTTGGTGGGAGGATTTTTTCTCAGCCCAGAAGTTCATATTAATTAGCTTTTGAGACTCATTGTCTCTCAATCTCTATCTACAGTAAGAATGAACACATGCATTTGATGTCAATGGATCTCTATCCTGGAGCTTTATTGCCCAAAGAAGCAAGCATTTTGTTTCTTTTTTCTAATTTTTATTTTTATTAGTACACATTTGCAGCGAGTAATGATTAAATTCATAGTGGGGACTTGGTACATGCACATAACACATCTCCAGTCTACTCCTCCCCTCCACCGACTACGTGGTTCTCCTCCCATTTGCAAAAGATCTCTCCCCATTTCCTTATTCCATGAGTAATAAGCATGCAGCCTTGGGAACAGCTGGCAGTCATCTTGGGATTACGAGGATCAAACAAACCCAAGGAACCAGAGCAGAGAAACAGAGAAGAGGAACTGAGTTATGGACATGTTATTTAACTCCGGATAGAGACTTGCATTACGGTTCATGTTTAAAATGTCCCCCAGAGTCTCACCTACCCAGGAATAGGGCTTTTGGGAGGTAACTGAATAATGAGGGCTCTAACTTCCTCCGTGGGTTAACCCTTCGATGGGTGCATGACTTTCTGGCATGGATGGGAAACAATGGAAACACCGGCATTGTTGCCTAACTGAAGGAAGCAGACCATGAGCTGTGGCCTTGGGGATGCTGTCCTGTCTTTGGGTGCTTTTTCTCTGACTCGCACCCTTTCTCTGCTTTCTGGTCGCCATGTCTTGAGTAGCTCTCCTGTTACACCCTTCTGCCATTGCATTCTGTCTCACTAGACCTAGAAACAATGGAGCCAGCTGACCACGGGCTTAAATCTCTGTAGCCTCAGACAAAATGTCTTTCTCTTTTAAGTTGATATTTCTGATATTTTTGTCACAACAACAAAAGGCTGACTGACAAAGTTATTTATATTTTTATTATATACCTACATTTTCATTAATAACTACTCAGCTCCCTTCTTATTCATATTCCACCATTTTTTGTTGTTAATGATGCAGCCCTTTTCTCCCAGGAAACCTTCCCACACTTTTATGATTCATAACAAGATAAGCACAATCTAAACCATGTATTATCCACTAAATATACTACATTGATACATTGTTTCTTCTCTAGAAATTTAAAGTGTATTCATATAATAGATACGGTATCACTTTTCTATAGGATTAGAAATGAATAAAAGAAAATATATTAATATTCTGTCAAAAAATAGAGAAATAAGAAACGTATCTCTAATTGCATTTCAACACAGTCTGTACAGATTCATTATGAAGAGCTAGTCTACATGACATATGGAACCTTCAGATAAATTCTGAGTTGGACATTTATTTATATTTCTAATGACATATTTTCAACCATTTTTATTTATAGCTAGGCATCACATATTTTAAGAATAGAAGCAAAAATTCAATATTTTAAAAGATGAATTGCTGATGCCATTCTTAGAGACTTACTTATTTTGGAAAACAGTTACTCCAGATTAAGTGTCGCATAGTCACCTGAGAAGACCAAGCAGAACTCTAAGCATTCAAAACACACAAGACAGCTAAGGTTGTTATACTACTGATTTCTTTTAGTTCACTGAAGGGTGTGCTTATATTGTCTGATCAATGTTGCATGCCTATATCTTGTAATCTGAGCAACTACTTTAAAGAGATATGCAATATATTAACCATTGTTAATTTTCTATGATCTTGTTTTGAAATTGTGTTTCATTATTTTTATTGTTTTTTTCTTCAAAATAAACAAGTAGGTATGCTGTACTGTTCTGTGTTATGTACTGACATCACTCAAAGTAAAAAATATTTCCCAAGACAGCCTAAAGTACGAACGTGCACAGGAAACCAAAAGCAGAGAATAAGCTTGCTGGCCATGTGTACAGCAGACAGGAGGCCAGGTAAACATGGCTTCACAGTGTTTCTGACGGTGTCTGCTCTTCCAGACTACAGAGAGGTGGGTAGAGCTAGAATGGAAAAGATCCAGCAAAGGAGAGGCCAGGAAATGGAAGAGTCTAAATATTTTAGTTAAGAACAAGCTCAAGTTTTCCTAAGGCATATTTACACAAAAAGTAACCGCCTTTGGTTTCTACAGAGTGTTGTTTGGTTACAAATACTTTTCAGTTTTCTCAGAGTATTTAGTCTATGGGGGAGTTTGTAAAATTAAAAAAAATAAAATAAAAACAGATAAAAACAAATCTTTCTTCATGAAATGCTTTTGAGAATGACTACAAATAGTTCTCATGAACAATCACAGTGTAGGTTATTTCATACTTTTTTCCTTGAGTACTAAAAGATATTTTAGTGAATCATGACTTAATACCCAATTGCTTTTCAAGCAAAGTAAGAAATTCCACCAGGATGTTAGTCATAATTTTATTTTCTCTGGAACTTAAACTCCAATGAGAACAAGGAAGCTGTGCAATTAATTTTCCTGTGTATATTTTGGGATATATATATATGTATCTTTATACATGATTCTTTCCTGTAGGAGAAAATGATTTTTTGTTATATTTATTAATTTCTGGATTTATTGGCAAACTTGGGCTTGTTCTTTTGCATGAAAAAATTGATGTACATTGTACAATTATAGTGCAAATTTTTAGTATTTAAAATTGCTTCTTTTGAGAGATCCAGAATAGCAAAAGCAATCCTGGGCAACAAAGACAAGTCAGGTGGAATCACAATCCCTGACCTGAAATTATACTACAAAGCTACTGTAATAAAATCAACATGGTACTGGCTCAAAAACAGACCTGAGGATCAATGGAACAGACTGGAAGAAACAGCCACAACCACAAA